GCCCCTCCCGCCGCGGCCGCAGGACCCCGCGGGGAGCAGCCCCCCACCGCCACCCCGGTTCTCCCAGCACCCACCCGCATCTCCCAGCCCCACCTGGGTGCCGTAGGGCCGGCTGCCCCCGGGAGCCCCTCCTTGCACCCCGGGGTGCCTGTGCCGTGGGGTTGGGGATGCTGCCAGCACCCTGGGGTGCAGCTCACTGGGCAGCGTTGGGTGCTGGGTGCATGCTGTGCATGCTGCTCTCCGGCTGGGGTGCCTACTGTGCACCCACCGCCCAGCCGGGGTGCACCCACCCTCCCCAGCCAGGGTGCACCCCGCTCTCTAGCCGGGTCCCTGCTCTCGGGCGGGGCTGGGAGCCCCCTGGGCTGCGTGGGCCTGTTCAGGTCCCCCTCCCCACCAGTCCCGGGCCTCTGGGGAGCCCCGCGGTCCCGCTGCCAGCCCGAGGGTGCCGTGGGCGAGCGCGGTGCCGGCCAGGAGGCAGCTGTCAGCCCTGGGTACATCTCGCTTCCCGGCATCTGCTGCAAAGGAGCCCTCCCTGCCAAAGCTGCTGAGAACAGCAGAAACGGTTCCCGGGAAGGCAAGCACCGGGGCTGGGCCCCCCCCATCTCCAGTGCTGAGCCCCGGCCAGGCAGCGAGCCCCCACCATCCCCATCCTCGGGCTGAGCTCGCCCCATCGTCCCCAGCCCCTCCGTCCCATGGTCACCGGGGGTGCCTGGCACTCGGTGCCAGTGGGAGCAGCATCCCCAGTGCAGGGCCCGGTGCCCGGGTGCGGGATGAGGGGGTGATGCTCCGGGGGCTGCGTTGGGCAGGGGTGACGGGGACCGGTCCCCTGGCAGTGGCCAAGCCTGGCTGAGCCACGGGCTGTGAGGATGCTGCACCGGAGCCCAGGCCCTGGGCTGGTGCCAGGGGATGCCACACTCTCGCCCGGCCGGGATCCCTGTGTTTAGTCTGGGATTCACTGCGCCCCGAGCCCGGTCCTGGAGGGTCCGAGCGTCCCCTCCCCCTGCCCGGCCCCGCGGAGGCTGCTGGGGCCCATTACTCGATCGGAAAGGAATTTGGTGCTGCTTTCTGAGCACGCCGACTCCCTGGAGCTCCCAGCCACATTGGAAACACATGTGCCCGGGCTGGGGCAAGGCGGGCTGGGGGCAATGCTCCCCCCCACCTCGGCCACGGTGTGGGCGGCAGGCAGCAGCAGGTGACCTGGGTGCTGGCACCCACGGGTGCTGGGCTGCCTGCTGCGGTGAGCGATGGGGCCATGCGAGGGCACGGGGCTGCTGCCCCCTTGGCGGGGTGATGGGGGATCCTTGCTGGAGCCCCCTGGCTGTGGGGAGCCCTCCTCCCTGGGCTGCACGGGGCATCTCACCCATGGGTGCCCCACGTTCCTGGAGCCCAGGGGGTGGGAAGGGGCTGGCTGGAAGGATTAAAGCCCGTGGAAGGGGGTAAGCGATGCACGATGCTGCCTGCACCCACTGTGGCACGGCTGGTCCCTGCCACCGGGGCTCGTGGTGATGCTTTTGGGCTGTGGGTCCCTAGGGGCACCTCTGGGACGCCGCTGGCCCCAGCATGGCCCTGCTGGCCCCCGGACTGGAAACCTCCGGTTCCTCCATCCCGGCGTGTGGTCAGGCTGTGCCACTGGGCTGCGCTCAGGGCAGGGCTCTGTTTCCGCAGCGGTGCCCCGGGTGATGTGACCCTGCCAAGTCCCCGCTGCCCTGGGAGCGCCCCTGGGTGCAGGCAGCAGCACTGTGCTTGGGTGCTACCCTGCGTGGGGAGGTCCCGGGTGGGGAGAGCAGGCAGTGGGTGCCCCCAGCACCCACAGGCTCCCTGGGCAGTGACGCCGTGGCTCTGCCCGACTTGTTTCCTCCCCTCTGCAGCCAGCTGCATCCCACCCTGCGAGACCCCAACCCCTGCCTGCGGCCCTGGGCTCCCCCAAACTGCTGCCGTCCTCCCCCATTCCTGGGGGGGGTCACAGCAGGTCCCCCCAGGCCGGGGCTGCGGGTGCAGGCAGGGGCCATGGTTGCAGGCAGGGGCTGCGTTTGCCACCCTTCCCCGGCGCAGGCATCGCAGACGGTGCTTTGCAGCTGCTTTGCCGGCTCCAGGCTGGGAGCTGGCGCCGGCTGGGGCGGCCGATTAGCGGGATCGGGATGTGCGGATTAAAGTCAATCTTGTTGGTGCAATTATCTGCAGCTCGCTGCCGGGGGCTCAGGGGGCGGTGGGTGCCGGGGGGCAGAGGGAGGCCCCCTCTGGGTTAGGCACCCGCCT